ATTGGTGTCCTTTCAAGCCTCGGGCAGGCCTCTCCAGACTCATGACGTGTGGTTCGCAGATCGGGCCGCCAATCTCCGCCGACTCATACAGGACCAGCGAACAGGACCGCCTCTCACGGCAGAACTTGAGTCTGAGTTCGCCCCGGCCGGTCTGCGTTGGTCCGCGCCTGACCAACTGCTGAGTCGTATGACACTGCAGAAGCCCTCCGTCTGCCCGCTCCCCTGCCGGCACGCGAGGAATCTCTCACAGATCTGTACGGATGGACACTGTACTGAAGTCTGCTGCGCAATGCACGTGCCTCAGAGTGCATGGTTAGCAGGTCACCTGATTCACCTGATCATCACCCAGGTGAATCCTAATTAGTGATTCGCTCTTATGAAGCAGAGACGCAGCAGAGAAGGTTGTGTGACACATTTTTAACATCAGCCACTTCGCACAAAACGCATCTAATTTAGTCACGGGGAGCTCAAACATGATGCGTCCGCTGGTCCCCGGCCTTCCTCGGTGATGTTTCTCAGACCTTCGTCTGGCACGCGGAAGAGGGTGTGATCATTCGTTTCATTGTCGGATTTATTGGTTTTTCAGTTGATTTTTCAAACAGTTTCATTGTCCGATACGTTGCAAGTATGTGACCACTTTGCTGGTTTCACACCGCTCGGGACGTCTCGCTGCTGGATTGCTCAGTTGTGGGCGGCGCCAGCACGGCATGCCGGGAGTAAAGTCTGCTGCAGTCACGAAACATCATAGCATATAGATGCACCGATTCGCGTTTCACGCCACATGTCCGGAATGTACAGCGATGTTCTATCAGCTCATTGGCCGACTTTTGCCATGTCAAATAAACTTGTGCCATGACTTAGCTTCTTACTGATCGTGATATGTTGCTTCGTACACTTCGCCTAGTTTGAGGCATGTTGCCAAAATGTATTGTCGAAAATTCCACTTTAGTTTAAAAGCGTGGTCGATGACTACCATGAGCTTCAGCTTCGTGACTGCTTGGTAGTTCTAAGTAAACAAAATGTATCCTGTTTGATCAAAGGCGTATGCTCAACGGTTGTAACCTCAAAGTCAGCAAGAAGTGAAGGACATATTCGACTCTTAGGCTTCCATAACTGCAAAACACCTGTAGGCGAAATGCTGATGGGTTGGAAGTTGTTGTGTTGACTAGATGCCTTGAAGTCGTGCTCATGGTTACTCTTGAACATTCGTAGGTGTGCTTTAAACTGATGAAGGCTTGGAGTTGAACTTTTTTGGTCATCTTAAACCTGCAATCGTTGAGCATTAGGATGACATTTAATCAGATTTTAACCATCACCCTTCGTGTTCTTTTTCACTTTCCCAGAGGCCCTGAATATATGCTAGACTCATGCGGAAGATGGCATTGAAAGCCTATGGTCAAACCACATTAGACAGATGTGTTTGAACATTGGTTATTGAACAATTCAATTGGTCAAACCGAATCAAAGCAATCAAATTTTGACTTTTTGTGACTCATCTTGTTTTTTTCAGAATCAAGCATACTACGACAATGCGGAAGACGGCGTTAAACACCTGTTGAAAAACATCAGTTATTTTAGCGAACAAGAAATAAGTGATCGTTGAAAACTGTATCATATGATGCATCTGATATGTGACATAATATTTCAGGTGAAAGGGATGGAAGCGGTTGTCGCATTGGCCATGGTAGCCACACAAAAATTAAACAATTCACATCAGTGGGAAGAACAAGGTTACAAAAGCTTTCGCAAGACGTTGGGGAGGTGAAATTGTGATTTCCATTGTATGGCTTACAAGCGGTAAAATCTTATCACACAAATTGAAAGCAACCAAACTTGACCTTGGGTGAGCTGACCTTGCAAAGACCACTAAAACGATAACAATGCAATTCAGATTGGTACGGATGAGAAGCGGGGTCTAGACAATCCTCTTGAAGTTTATTTCCTGCGAAATTTGACCTTTAACGTCGTTCTCGAGCAGAATGTCACCAACACGATCTTGTAAAATCGTTCATACATTGTGAGCCATGTGGCTCGCAAACGTCAAATTTTCACAAGCTGTGTGAGAAGAATGTAAACTTAAGTAGCCAAAATTTCCTTTTTCAGTCTGCCCATTTGCACCTACAATCTGTCTGTCTGTGTGCACCTCCTGTCTTCTGCCCGCTTACCCTTCCAGCGCCTGTACCTCTCACCTGTCCGTCCTTCCGGTAACTGATTGCATCTGTCCGTCGGTACATCCAGTCAACAGTCCGCCAGCACTCCTCTACACCTCTCGCCTCCACCCGCCCGATGCCCAGCCCGGACACGGTCCTTCTGTCCAGTCCAGACCCCGGTCCCTCTGTCCAGTCCAGACCCCGGTCCCTCTGTCCAGTCCAGACCCCGATCCTTCCGTCCAGTCCAGACCCCGGTCCTTCCGTCCAGTCCAGACCCCGGTCCTTCCGTCCAGTCCAGACCCCGGTCCTTCCGTCCAGTCCAGATCCCGGTCCTTCCGTCCAGTCCAGACCCCGGTCCCTCCGTCCAGCCCGGACACCGGTCCCTCTGTTCAGTCCAGACCCCGGTCCTTCCGTCCAGCCCGGACACCGGTCCCTCTGTCCAGTCCAGACCCCGGTCCCTCCGTCCAGCCCGGCCACCGGTCCTTCCGTGCAGCTCGTGCACCCGCGCGTCTGTCCCCCCCCCCCTCCCCCCCCCCATGTCCAGCCGCTCATCAGCATCCGGTGTCTATATCGGTCTGCGGGCTTCCGTGCCGAGGGGTGCGGACGGTGACCGGCCGTCGACCGCGGTTCACGGACACGGGAGAAGAAAGCCCTCCGCTCGCCGCGCCGGCCCGCCGGCGAAGCGAAAGTGCAGCCCGGCTCCGAACACCGCCCTTGCCCCGTGGGGAGGCCGCGTGTCCGGCGCATTCCTGGTAGATGCACGTGGTGGTGGAGTACGCACCCGTGGCTTGTTGCCATTCAAAAAGCTAATTCTGCTAGATGCTAATCACAACTAATTAAGTGAGGCGGCAACACTATTGCATGCCCAGATTATCATTGGGAAATGCTCCAAGCACGAGGAACATTCTTAGCACCGGCACGGCGCAAAACTACGGTCTCGTCACGCCACAGTTTACACTTACTCCCGACTCACGTAGCTTACTCCTAACGGCAGGTTTGGCTTGCCCGGAGGGGACATATTTAGTTTACCCTGCACGTGACAGGCTTACCCTGTTTTGCAGAGGCACGCTCGGTTCGCCCTGTTCCGTGCCGCTGGTGGCGGGGTTGCTGACCCGAGCCCCGAGCGATTGCCGAACAGCGCTGAGGTTAGCACGCGAACGGACGCTGAGCAGAGCGGCAGGTATGGAACCGGCCGGCGACAGCGCTGAGGTTTGTATGCGAACGGACGCTGAGCAGAGTGGCAGGTATGGAGCTGACCGGCGACAGCGCTGAGGTTAGCACGCGAACGGACGCTGAGCAGAGTGGCAGGTATGGAACCGGCCGGCGACAGCGCTGAGGTTTGTATGCGAACGGACGCTGAGCAGAGTGGCTGGTATGGAGCCGGCCGGCGACAGAGCCACCAAGCTGCAAGACAAGGTGTTGGAGCCGCTGTCTGATGGCCGTAATCTGCGCCTGACGGCTGGAATGTGAGGCTCCTGAGGCGCGCCAGGATGGCCACCGGCTGCTCCTGAGACGCGCCAGGATGGTCACCGGCTGCTCCTGAGGCGCGGCAGGATGGCCAACGGCTGCTGGTGGCCCGGTGCTGAGTTCTCGGACAGCAAAAATACATAATTGGCCGTCACTTTTAAGTGCAATTTGATTGCTATTTGTGGTCTACGCTATCGTCAAGAGTATTGCAACTGAGGCTGTTTATAAGTCGTTGCTGTCGTAACTCGCTGGCTCGAGGGAAGTTGGCATGAGTAGAAGTAATAACACCGTCAAAAGTTCTGTGGGTCTCAATACTCTCTCGCCGCCTGAGCCTCCCACGCTGCTACGTTATTTCGCTCCTCTATGTTGCCAGATTGTTATGGTTGATTTGGGTCCCGTCACCCCGTGCTACGCGGCGTCCTCGTGTTGAAAACGTTCGCTGTCCTGCTCTGGAAATACAGCGAAGCCTCTGGGGTCATTTGACCATGACAGCCCCCAGGTGTCTCGTGGCCTGCATACATGGTCCGTTCGTTCGGCAGTTCTGGTGATGAATCGGTGAGTTCTCATCATAGGGTGGCATCAAGATGATATAGCCAGATCAGGTGAATTTCGGTGTCGTATGCAAAGGTAAGTAACGAAGCGCAGTATTGGCTATTCATATCTTGTGACAACTGGTCACATACACAAGTGCACTCACCTTTAGCGGAAAGGAAATAGCCAGCTTCTGACTACGACAGAGCAGTGAATGGTGAACATGTAAGGAGGAAGTGAAGGAAAGAGAGGCCCGTGGCATACTTCGTTGCCGCTGTTTAGCTGCTACTGTGGTAACACTTATTACGATATCTCTAAAAACTTGAGCAGCTGATAATAATAGCACCAGTGAAGATGAAACCAATGTTGTGGCAGAGGTAGCCTGTGAGGCATCCATCATAATTCAAATGCATGTCTCTTCGTGCGTTAACTGCGCGTCAGTGGTAAGAACTATTTCCCCGGTCTCCTTTCCGCTGCTCTGGTGAGCACAGTCTGTGGTGCAAGCCTCCATGTCAGGTTATCAAGATAACCCCATGTTCGCCCCATTCTCTATGGTCCCATTCTTTAACATCCATGCCAGTGTTCAGTAAACGCCAGCTCCTTGCATAGTTTATTACAAAATGCCGTGCCCTACGAGGGGCCGGGTCGCATAGTTCAAGACACCGAGTCGCACATCACATCAAAAACAAGCTGAGCACTTCATCACTTAGGCTAAGGGGCGCGAATTCCCATACACATGACACTGCAATTGTTGACCAGATTGGGCGGACCAGCCGATCCCGTGACTCCTTCCTAGACTATTCACATATGTACACCGTTAAATAATTACATAACAGATAAAGAACAGCTGATTGGTGACCTGTACAGGAAGGTCACAGGCCCTCGGACGACGTAACAATAGAGGAGTAGAGGTGACTGTTGGGGCCAGGGTCTGGAACAGACACAGAAGGCCGTTAGTGCCGCCCGCGTCATGGTGAACATGGTGACGACCGGAACACCCAAAGCCCGCTGAACAATCTGATGCAAGATGCGACAAAAAAGCGGTAGAAAATGGCATCATTAAAAGGTGTCGCCACCAACTTCAATTATGTAAATCATGGAGGTCACAATCAGCCGAGGGCGAGGCAGTTTTCCGATTATGTTCCGCTTGTGCGAGGGCGGATACTGGTGCATTGTTCTTAAAACTGAGGCCACCCTGCTGGGTAGTTCGGTTACTCTTCGTGCCAACACCAGTTCGACAACTGCCACAAAATAGATTATCTTGATCGCATGTTTGGAGAGCGCGTGCGCGCCGCTGATAAGAGAGAGGCCACCAGCCAAGAGTGTGGAGGCGAGCAGGCGTATCGTCCGGTGAAAGGAATGATGGCTGCCTCGTGCCCGAGCTCGAAAGTGAGTCTGGGCGAACACCGCCTCGGGCCGACCACTTTCTCGGCCGCCGCTCGCACGTTCAAGGTTGCCGGCATAGGCCACCGATCGCCCCGCGCCTCCACCACGCGGCTTTTCCCTCGAGAGGGGCGTCAGCTGTACGCGGAGCTGGAGAAGCGCGGACGGCAGCGCGCCTGAATGGCGCGGCGCGAAGCGCGTCGGAAGCTGACGGCACTGAACGGCTGTGAGAGCCGAGACGACGTGAGCTCTCGCGACGCGTGAGGCGGCGCCGCGTGGCACCGCCGCGCTCAGACACGCCGCGCGACGAGCTCGCTTTCTAGGCGACGCACGGTGCATCGAGGTACCTCACGTGGCACTGCACCTGCCCTCGATCGTCAGCGGCGCCGTCGCGGAGAAAACCGCGCTGCTTCGGCCGCCTGAGCGGACGCCCGTCAGCGGCAATACAGGCGGAAGTGAGCAGAGACGATCGGAAGTAGCCGCATCTGAGCCCGCAGTGACCGCAACTTGCATTTGTCACAGCAGCCAGTGAAGGAGATCCTCTGATCGAACGAATGCGCGCGAGAAAGTCTAGCAAAGTCTGTGTAGTTCAATCAGCACCTCAACTGCCACCCCGCTTGGACCCGACCCGGCTTGGGTCGCGTTGTTGGCGGCTCGCCACCGCGTAGCCCACGGTGAAAGTACACGCCGCTAGTGAAAGTGAGCAGCGGTGCCGGGGGCGCGCGCCGCTCGTCTCAGCGCGCCATGAATGCCGCTCCTGTTGTGACGTCACCGGCCGAAAGTGCCGGTCAGCGCCGACGGCCGGGCGCGCCGTTGCGACACGCAGCCGGCGGCGGGCCGACGCGCTGACGAACGCTTCGCTGCCCCGCTGACGCAACCGACGCGCACGAAGCAGATTTTCTGGGTCGCCACGGTTACGGCAAGGACGCGGCCGGACTGATTGCCGCCCTGCGTTGCGGCAGCGCGTTGGATTGGCCCGGCGTGGGCAGCTGGGCGGAAAATGACCTGGGTGCCCGCGTTTCGTCGGCGCGCTTGCCTCATCAGCGCGAAACGATCGGCGCGCTGGCCAGCTCAACGCCGTTTGCACGAAAACAGCGCCAAAGGGACATTGCCCCGCTGGGCGGATATGGCTCAGCGGCGTTTGCGTAGCGCTGCTTCATGACGCTTGCCCATCGTTAAACTCCCGGCTGGCCGGCATGGAGGTTGGGCTCTCCCCTGCGCCTGCAGACGTCGCTGATGCACGCTTGCGGAGACGGGCATGCCCGCACGCCGCTGGGACTCACCACGGGCGCCTATTTGCCGTAGCCGTTGTTGTAGCTGGGGTAGGTCGGCTTGGGGCAGACGGTGACGTACTGGTTCTGGGTAGCGGTCTGTAATGGAGGCGAGGAGTGACGATACTGCGCCTGCTGCGGACGGCATCCAGAAAGCTGCTTCTCGGTCTATTTGCCTGATAGATGTGACTTGTTAGGTGCAGCCATTCTAAGCCCGGTTATGCGCATCTAATATGTTTTGCGATCAGTCGAGCCCAACTAGTGTCTCCCGAATGCATGAGCACGCACAGCCGAGCAGAAGTGGCATTTCATGCCACTGGAAGGACGCGCAGCACTACAACAGCGCGTAAACAGACCCCCCCCCCCCCCCCGGAATCTCGGAATCTCAGCTCTCAGTCGGAAACACACTCCAGCGGGATCCTGAAGTGAACGTACCTTGGTGACGGTGACGTACTGGTTCTGCGTCTCCGTCTGGGTGACGTACTTGTACTCGGGGTACGCCGAGGTCACGGTCTGAGTCACGTAGTTCGGCACGTTCTGGGTCTCAGTGACGTACTCGTAGCTGACCTGTGGGAGACACGAGGTTAGCTGGGCTGCTGGTCCGTTCAGGGGGTGAACGGGTCACGAGACATGATGGAGAGGAGCCAGGATTAACATGTGCATGGGTTTGACGCTTAGGGGATCCAGAGTATAAGATGGCTTGTGCGTTTCCAGGTGTGCTACACTGCCTCATTGTAAAAGCATCGAATTGGCTTAGATCCTTACTTGACCTTGCATCGGTCCAACCAGCTTTTGTGTTTGTTTATAAAATCATAGAAACAAGCTATTTTTGATTCCGTCCCAGCTGTAAACGTATCACGAAGTCGGTCCACTAAGGCTGTTACGAAGCCCAGCCCCCCGACATATCCTGCAGCGCCCGGAAATGGCTGCAATGCCTATGAACCACGAGCTTATCTCCGTGACTTGACCGTCGCGGGGAGGGAGGGGAAGGGGAAGGGGTCCGGGAGGCCGACCCACGTACCTTGGTCTCCGTGACGTACTGGTACTCGGGGTAGGCCTGGGTCTGGTAGGCGGTCTTGGTGACGTAGTAGGGGACCTGGGCGGTCTCGGTGTAGTACTTGCTCACCACCTCAGTCTCGGTGTAGTAGGCCTTCTCTGTCTTGGTCACGTAGGCCGTCTCGGTGAAGTACTGGTGCTCCGTCACATACTGCGTGTCGTACAGCACCTTGGTGCTCACCTGCGGGTGCAGAGGTCGCGCAGGGGGATGGGGTGTCAAGCAGAGTCACGACTGCGCTCGGTCAGTCCGGCTGCCGAGGTGACGTTTTAGATCCCTTGTTCATCTCTCGGAGAGTACAATTCCTTGCAATTTTCCAATATGGATGTGCCTTCGGAGTCAGCTGGCATTTCAAGCATAGGAACCGCTAAAAATTGCACCTATGGAGCGGCATGCATATCCATCTATGCCATTCTCGCATAACCAAGCGTAGAATCCAAGCATGAAATGGATTTAAGTGGGGGACGGACGCCGGCTGCAGAGTCTTGCATGACCCAATGTACGTTTGCCCCGCCTGCAGCAGCAGCGCTACATCCCCGTCTCCATCCCAAGCCCCTCGCCGACTCTGCCGGCGCGGGCCTGGCTCCTGCCGGGCCACGGCGCTGGCTGCCTCAGGCGCGAGACCGCTGCACTGACCTTGACCTCCGGGGCCACGTAGCTGGTGACGTACTGCGTCTGGTACTGAGTGCTGGGGTAGTACAGCGTCTCGGTCACCTGCTGGTACAGCGTGGTCGGCTGCAGCGCCGTGTACGTGTTGTACTTGGTCTCGTAGCCGATCTTGGTGGAGGTCACTGCCGGGAGCAGGCGAGGTCAGTCGGTGGGCGGGGGTGGCGCCGTCCGGCGTGCGGTGGCGCCGTCTGAGGCCGACTTCTCATGCAGCGGAACGTGTTGGGGATGGCGCAACAGCAGGGGAGCTGTTGGCAGCGAGACAGCTGCGGAAGCGTCCCTTTCCCCGGGCAAGGTAACCTATCCACGCTGGAGGCATGAGATGGTGGCCTTTAACAACTGGGTATTCCACAGCCCGTCTCCTCCGCACGGGGACGCTGGCGGGCGTGAGGGGAAGCCCGCGCCGTTACACCAGAGCCCAGGTGGCTCTCGAGGCGCCAGATTCCGGTTCTGGTGGCCAGACCGGTTGCGAATTGCAACACGCGACCTTCCGGCCTCTGGCTGCAACCGGCGATCAATATTCATGTGTGACAGAAGCGTAAGACGGAAGAGGCGCCCCTGTTTACTGACCCTTACTAACCCGCTTAGAAAACGTTTTGCATAAGCTATGCAGCGCCGGTTGCAGATAAATGTGGCGCGAACGGGACCCAAGCGTGCCTCGACCAGCGCTTGTACAGCCCGCCTTCCGCCAGGTGAAGCGGCGTGCAGGAGCCCCACGGTTACTTCCGTCTGCAGACATCTGAACACTAAAGACTCCTTCTAAGACTGGTCAAGCCTGCTCTCTGGCTAAGGACGCTGAATGCCAGCCTATGCTGCCGTCGCCCGTCGACGTTCTTTGAGTTCGTCGGCGCTTCGACAGCAGTGATAATGTTGGGAGTAGCCCGTCGCACCCTAGCCTGCAGTACCCTGTCGTACCCTGCCGTAGCCTGCCGTGGCCCCGCCCCACGTACCGGTGACGTAGTGGGTCTCAGGCTCGCAGGCGGGTGTGCCATAGCCGGTGGAGGGGGCTGGCGCCGGGGCGTCGTAGGAGGGCGCGATGGGCGGCGCTCCGTACTGCGGCGCGGCGTCGGGTGTGGGCACGGCGCAGGCCACGCCCACCAGCATCAGCACGGCCAGAGGATTCATCCTGTGGAGGGGCGCGGCGGTCAGATGGGGCGAGACGGCTGGGGCGGGTCAGGGGGGGGGGGGGCGTGAAGGCTGGGAGGGCCGGAACACCGGAGGGGTGATACAGACCACGGACCGGCAGGTAAGATTGGTGGTACCGCGCATCGGCAGACTGGTGCGCCAGAGACTGGCCCTTAAGACAGGCTGTCAGGTGAGCTGTCAGGCACATAAGGTGTCTGGTGGTTCGGACATGAGACGGCAGCCACACCAGGCAGGAAGACATGAGACGGCAGCCACACCAGGCAGGAAGACATGAGACGGCAGCCACACCAGAGACGGCAGGAAGTAAGGGTTCAGGGGACGAACAGCTGACGCTGCGCCTGGTCTGAGGGACAGGATCGGAGCGTCGGAGAGGAGCACCGCGGCAACGGTGGCGACGGACCGCCTAGGCGGTTGTGTTGTCGCCGCTCGTGATGATCGCGGCGGGGATCCGGAACAGAGCAAATGGGCGGGTGTCGCTGGTCTAGAGGCCGTGTGAACTGCGATATTTACTGGGTGATGCTAGAGAATTCGCAGATGCTTGGTAACTGTCAACTGCCGCAAGTAATTTTGAAAGTCACAGATTCAAGATGTTGTAAAGGGATGCCTGGTAATTGCAAGAACTGCCCACACAGACATTTTCAAGGTGGAGAACGCGACATTCAACACCAGAGCAAATGGTAGCAAACGCTGTCTTTAAGCCATGTTTGGCTAAGAACAATACGGCGCGGTGCAAATCTGGGCTCAGTGTGCTCACAACCGAACATTGTGAGCATGCAGCTGGGTCAACATCACTGCAGCCAACAAACTAATTGAAACTGATCTTGGAGGGTTTAAAGTCGCCGGCGACGCGGCATTGAAAGCGTAGACAGATTGCATGACTTTAACTGACTGACAATGTTTGGAGGAAAAGGGGGTTCGTTGTTAGAATTGCTAAAGCTTAAACGAAACGGGGGCCGACGGAGACCAGATAGCAAAGTACGGATTGATGAAATGTACAGGTGTTCGGCTAAGCCCAAGAAAAAGAAATTGCGACTAGGAAACAAAATCGCTCACGAACTGATGCACCCATCGACAGGCCCTCAGCTGCCCCCCACGACACGAGCACACCACCTACACAGCTTGGGTCGTCACCACCGCACGGCACCGGCACTGGCTGCCGGCTGCAGCGGCCCTCCGCTGACACCGGCGGTGCTGACCCGACCTCGGGTCACCGGGCGCCGCCGTACTTACTTAGCGTGTCCGTCTGCGGAGCGAACGAAAGACTGACTCTGCCGGCGCGGCCGCCGCTTATATACGGGCCGGCGTCGGCGCCTCACACACTTTCCACCTCCCGTGACTGACCCAGTTCGTCGCTAACCGGCGACGTCTGAGGGGGGGGGGGGGCAGGGGGCATTCCGAGCAGACATCCCCGGGTTGAAGAGGCTCCTCTTCTGGCGGGGCGGGAGACGAGTGGGCACGGCAGAGGTGGGCTGAAGATGCGGAGTGACCCGAGACGCCGTCAGAGAACTACGCCCGGCTGGTGGATGGGAACTTCGCATACGAAGCAAGGCGATGTGATGGCTGTCTCTGGTCGGCGTTATCAGCCTCGGAAACGACACTGCATGCTCACCATCCCAGGTGCGGGAGGTCTTAGTGGAATACACGCAGCAGGCCGCCTTGCCTGTGATGTCACAGGATGTCACCAGATACAGAGCAGGATTGTTAAAGAATCATCAGATGCTATTCTTAGCAGCCATACCGTGCAGTTGATCCATATGATGACGCTTTGGTCTTCCATCTAAACAGAGTAGCCCTCAATAAACTTTAAAGCTGCCTTTGCATGTTGCCTATGCACGCTAATGCTCTCCAATGCGCTTGTCTTTCCTTTCAGGTGGATGGGGCAAAGATCTCGTAGTGATGAGCAAAATTGTCACGAATAATTCGAGCTCGGAAAAAAGACCGCAAGGGTATAAATGCCAGAATTCTTGATCGAGCAAAGTTCATAAGGCTTGGGAGAGTAGCTAATGTCGCTTGAGACACACTTCGCCGGGATTGGCGTCGCGCCCGGGAAAGTAAATGTTGAGGTTAGCTAGTTAAATTGTTGTGAGATAAGATAATGGATAAATTCAAAGTAGAGTAAATAAGCCTTTTGGTACTAGTTTCATCGAGTGCTATCTGGGGATGAAATAGCAACCGCAGGATAATGCGATATTGAGAGACTTTATAGCACTATTGACTTTTGAAACAGTAGTGCTAAAACATCTTTTTTCATGGTGTTAGTGGCCATTGATTTGAAGTGAATTGCTTGTTTTTAAAAAACAGAACAAAACGTTCTTGATAACAAAATACAAACTTCATCAACGTAGCACTAAAAGGAGGTTCAGCTCCGAAAACCAACAGCTCTAAAATGTTGGTTGTCACTTGAAGTTATGCTAGCTTGTGCAATGATTGTAATGCAAAGATAATGGCTTAATAAACAAATAAAACAAATAACAATTTTTGGTATGGAAGCTTTGTGAACTATCGGTGTAAAACTATGTTTTTCAGTGGTGTTTAACCATAGTCATACGCTAGTTTGGGCAGTCATTTCCATAAGCCACCGAAACAAATCCAAAATTGTCAGCTCAATTCATGCAGAGTACGCTTCTGATGGTCTCTTTGGTTTCGCAAGCATTGTAAAAACAAAACAAGATAACCAACGAAATGTTACATGTTTGCCATTCAAAACTCTGACAGTCATTATTTACACATTTGCACCGTCATTTCCATCATTCTCTACATGCTCTGTTGAATTACAGCTGCCGACTGATTGTGACTGCCGGCTGATTGTGACTGCCGACTGATTGTGACTGCCGACTGATTGTGACTGCCGGCTGATTGTGACTGCCAACTGATTGTGACTGCCGGCTGATTGTGACTGCCGACTGATTGTGACTGCCGACTGATTGTGACTGCCGACTGATTGTGACTGCCAACTAATTGTGACTGTCGACTGATTGTGACTGCCGACTTGTTGTTACTGCCGACTGATTGTGACTGCCGACCGATTGTGACTGCCGACTTGTTGTGACTGCCGACTTGTGATTGCTGACTTGTTGTGACTGCCGACTGATTGTGATCATAATCGTGATTGTGGTCGAATAAAACAGAATAATAACTTCAAAAATAACTTGCAAAGTCGTTTGAAATTTAGCATGCTGGTAAACGTGTATATGTGGTTTGCTTGCATGTATGTGTGTGTGTTTGCGTGTGTGTGTGTGAGTGTGTGAGTGTGTGTGTGTGTGTGTGTGTGTGTGTGTGTGTGTGTGTGTGTGTGTGTGTGTGTGTGTGTGTGTGTGTGTGTGTGTGTGTGTGTGTGTGTGTGTGTGTGTGGTGTGTGTGTGTGTGTGTGTGTGTGTGTGTGTGCGTGTGTGTGTGTCTCTATATATCCATGTGGGTGTGACATTCAAAGAAGCTTGTGGGTACACCCAGCCCAGTTACGACTTCACCCTGGCTGACTGTGCCGGCGTTCCTGTCACCCAGTGGACAACAAGCTTGTTTAGTGTTCCGTTGAAAGTGGTCTGAGCATGAGCTTAATCACGCCGGTGCCCTGATTTGCCCCAAACCCTCTATAACACCTCAACCCAGCCTAGTTTTATTGCGCTGAATTGTTACTGCTGTTGTTATATGGTTATTCACGAACGGGAAGCGCTTTCAGGCATCCATGAACTTCTGGCTGGCACCAAGGCTGTCGTCGATGTCGGTGGCGATGGGCTTGGACCGGTCGGTTACGCGGTGCATACCCCTCGTGCACCCCCCCCCCCCCCTCCCCTTAGGTACCTGAGAATCTCGTGCCCGTCCTGCTGCTGACAGTCCATGAGTCGGGCTTCGACCGGCTGCAACCATGCCTTGAGTGGGGCCGTGGCCAGTCCCGGTAAAGCTCGTTTGATCTCCTGCACAGATCGCACAGTTGTATACTGATGTCTGCGCCGTTCGTGGCGGAGGTGGTCATGTTGATATCTTTCGCGTATTCGTCCCACCCAAAGGATGTAGTCATGCAGGAGGCGGGTGTTGTCCAGACATTGTAGCACCGAGTTCATAAAGCACGCATCGATGTCCCCGAGCCCCGCCGGGCCGAGCGGCCGCATGGAAGTCATTAAGGCATATATTTCACCTAAGTTCGGATAACGTCTGCTCAGCATCTAGGTGCGGCGAAATGATTGTGGATGAGGTTTAGTTTTAAAATGATACAACTATCCGAGAAGTATAATGAGGTTAAGATTTTTCCCAAGACAGATAGACCCAGGCTATGTTAAAATCAGCGTTCATTTTTCGCACGGCTCTTTCATAAGGTACAGTATTCTTATTCGTGTTCTTCGATTTAATTTTTTTCAAGCCCCTTTCCGGCCGTTCAGTAAAGCGTGGCTGGTGATACATAGGCTCAGCATGACTAAATCCTATCCGACTTAACCTAAACTGATCGCATTGCACTTTGCAAACGATTTGGGAGCAGCGAAAATGTTTGCTTGGTGGGAAAAACAATAATAAAAGTATGGAGACAATCTTGTCATATGCCGATCAAACATGAACCAAAATCAGGTCAGCATAAAGTTACCTGACACATATTTACAAACCTGTGTGGCATTTCAATTTGATGCTTCACTTTAGCTAAGCTCTCTTCCATTTCCAAACGTCGTCTACCTGGGTTGTTCCATCTCGACTCGACATGATGTTGCCTGGCCTGGCCTGCACCGCCCTTCTAGCAAGTTTCAAAAGAGACCGCTAGTTTTACAAGCATTGCTCCAACACCCGCTGTTATTTGTCGTTAGTCAGGAGGCTTCGGCTCACCGAACCGTGACAGAGCTGATCAAAGGTATGGTTTATCCGCCCCTAGACACATTGCAGCATTTGTAACACGATGGAGCCGAAGCTGTGGTTCAAGGTAGGAGGAAGTACACTTCACTCACGGGATAAGTGCTGAGATTACAGGTGGCCTCATTATGCTGCTTGGCAATTGGTTCACCTGACGCAGCTCAACATGTTGTTCAATGCAAAATTGTTGCTAGATGTACTTAACTGCGTGTGGCTAGCTAATCAATACTTCAAAGCTTAAAACTATGAAATTATCAACGATTCTGATGACGAAATATTAGGTTATCTTTCGGACCCTTGATGATGACCACTGGCGATGTAATATATATGTATATATATATATATATATATATATATATATATATATATATATATATATATATAGCTTAACATCATGCTGGCAGTCGTCTTAACACCTGACTGGATAGTTTTCCTGGTGGAACGGGCGCGGCATGCTCTAAACTTTTAAAGCTTTAACCATTAGCAAAATTAAGCCAAAGTTATAAACTCAGCTCAGGTAAGCTAATATGAACGCATATTCCTTTTTCATATGGAAATGCCTTCCTGGCATAGCAGATACGGTTTGAGCCTCATGAACGGCTACAAGGATACCCGCCGTTGGTCCGAGGCTCATCAAACAAGGTCACGTGACCAACAGTGGTGCGTCTCTCACAGAGGCAGGTAGGCCGGGTGCCGAGTGTCGCCCGTGCAGTCCCGACCTCAACTCAGCCTACCTGAGGCATGATTACAGCACGGAAAACGCCGGTCAGGATCAACAGAACACAAGTGCAACGACAGAGGTGAGCAGCGATCGGGATTGGAGTAATCGGCACGGACTCGGAATCGCCGCTGTGCTGGGGTCAGTCTTTGCGTCAGTCTTGGAATCACCAGACGCCTGCTCAAGGGCCAGAGATGGAGCGGATCGTTGCACTTCCACCATTGAAAAACACCGTGTTAAGGCTAGCTTAACGTGATGCATCTGCTCAAATATTAAGAAGGTACGTCACAAGTTTGTGCGCAAAGTTACTTTAGCTCGTGTTGCTCATACTGTGGCGTGATTTGCCATTGTGTTGTCATCACCACTACCCCAAAAGATCCAGTACGCACGAATGTCCAGTACGTAGTCTCCGTGTTTGCCTGCTTTGTGCTTGGGTACAGAACGGTTACCGTCCACAAAGACGGACACAGCGGGTCGACAAAAAGGAATAAATGTGTGCGATTGTCACAGAAAATTATGACCGCTCTAAACATAACCCACTCTCATTGGTGTCACATATCTCTTTTGAGGCTGAAATCCCAGTTTTTCGAAACACCTCAAGAAAAAGGAAACTTTCTCCCCGCCGAGGCCAGGGATCTCCACATTCCTTCAGGGTGCTCTTCCAGTCCCGTCCGGTCGCGACATCGCGGTGAATAAATCCGTGACCACCTGCCGACCCCGCTCCT